TTTTTTTTTTATTGTTTTCTTTTCTTTTTTTTTCGTTTCCGCCTTCGCTTTTTCTTTTTTTCTTTTGCTTTATTTGCTTCTTTTTTTTTCGTTATTTAATAACTCTTCCGTTCTCTTTCTATCTATCTATCTATCTATATATCTCTCTCTCTGGTGAATCCAGTCCCCCTCACAGCGGCTGGGAGGTTTTTTGTAGGTTTCAGTGAGACGTGTGAGAGGCGAATAAAGAGAAACGAAGAAAGAAAGAAAGAAGTGAACAACTCGAGTTTGTGTGTTTTCTTTTTTTTTTTTTTTTTTTTTTTTTTGCTGCTTTTCATTACAACAGTGACATTTCACTCGTACGTTGAGCCGCACACACATATATATATACACTCTATATATATATATTTATATATATATTCTATTATTACGTGAGCATAACAAACGGAAAAAATATTTCTTTTTCTTTTTCTTTTTTTCCATTCAAGAGAGAAAAAAAGGGGAAAGAAGGAGAAGAAGAAGAAGGCTTCTGATGTCTGTAGGTACTGCAGCGGCCGCTGGTGGTATTCCAGCAGCTCCTGAAAACCCCATAGATTATCCTATTGTATTCACACGACAACAACAAGAAGAGGAGGAAGATGCGGGTGTAGACAGTGATGCTATTTCAACTGTAACGATATTCACCGCCCTTCAGTGGCTATTGCCGGTATTTCAACTGGCCGATTGGCTGCCAAAACATATAGGCAGAAATGTAAAAGGTGGAGAGGCGTCTAGTGTTAATAATAATAATAATAATAATAATAATAATAATAATAATAATAATAATAAACGGGGTAAATGTCCAGTGGAGGTACAAAAGACGTTGGAACTCCTCCCACACTTTGAGTCCTTTTTCACAAGTGAAAGTAAAGTTATTCCGAATGGGGCGCTTCTCTACACTGTGCAGAGTTTTCGTTTTCCCACTCCACGTGGTCCACGCACCATTACACGTGCGTTAGTAGAAACCCCCGGGAAGTACTTCTCAACACTGCAGGAGGAAAAGGGTGGGGGTCACTTTCTCTGCTGTTATGAGGATAAGGAATGGCTGCGTTACTTTACTTATCTGCAGTTGGATCAACTGCGGTTTGCGTGGGTGGCGGTGAAGGAGTTGGTGGAGGAGCACAAGGCAGTGCAGCGCACAGACGGCAGTCTCACCGGACTTGCACGGCGTGATATTAAAAAGAATAACAACATTAGTAATACTAATAATACTAATAATGATAATAATAATACTGATAGTCTGGAGGCTGGGGATATCTCCACGGTGTTGGCTCCACAGCGGCCGCAGCGCGGGAGTAATATCATCACAGGCCCAACAGCCGAGGCCCGCAAAGTACGTGCGGAGCTGCGGGAGAAGAAATACATGTCGGAGTTGCTGCGGGAGGAATGTGCAGCCCGCTGGCCACACACGCCTGTGCATAAGTCTGTTGTGATTACAGTCGCAGAGGAGCGCATCTCGACAACAACAACAACAGGAGGAGGAAGAGGAGGAGGCCGTAAAGGACCGCGGATGTATAGTGCTGCGGTGGAACTGCCGCTGTTGAATAAGAAAGGGGCAGTGGCGGTGTTTAAAGCCCCGCAGTGGTGTACAACCCGTCGAGATGCGGAGAATGCGGCGGCGGAATTGGCACTCCGAGCACTTCGCGGAGTAAAGTCGTAAAGTAAACTATATATATATATAGTTAAAGCTATATAGTTCTGTGTTTGTGTTTGTGTTTGTTTGTGAGCCCTGTGAGTTTTATTGGGATATGTGTATGTGTGCGTGTGTGTTGCTTGGTGAATATACACAGATATATATTTATATATATATATATATATATATATATTTCTCTTGTTATTAGTCTTTATGTGTATTTGCTTGGTATCCCCACTGTAGACTGTTCTTTTTGTTATTCTCTCTCTCTCTCTCTCTCTATACATGTATATATGTATATTCTTTGTTTCTTTTCTTTTCTTTTCTTTTTTTTTTGTTTATTTAAGTGAAATTAACTGTTCCTATATATTTACCATTAGTGTACGTTTTAGGTATCTTTTTTTTTCTTTTTATCTCTTTCTAGGCTTCGCTCGTATTTTTGTTTTTTTTGCTTTTGTTCAAGAGGAATCTCTTGGACTTTTTTTTTCTTTTTATTATTCGAAACTCCATCTCACTTGAGTGTGTGTGTGTTTGTATTCATTTTCTTTCTTAGTACTCCCTATAGAATTAGTTTGATTCTTACGGAGTGCTGTCATTACATCTCAAAGAGAGAAACAGAAAGAAAATTAGAAAGGTATATACATATAAACACATACTGTAGAAACAAAGAGAGAAGAGAGAATTGAGTAGAGTTCATAAGAAAGCGAAAACAAGAAAAATCGTCACCTATTAGGAGACTTTGTGTTCTTTGTTTTATTATTATTTTTGTTTCTGGTTACTTCCATTAGGAATAATACTTTATTTATATTTATATTTGAGCAGCCAGGCACACTTCTTCAACTACATCAATACTGTCAGTTTTTATATTAATCAAAGAGGAAGAGTATTACCCATTTACATTCAATTGACATTTCCAAATTATGTGCCGACAGAAGATAGCAGCCTTAAGATCTAGGGCTCTTTGTGATGATCAAGCACCCTTCTTTTACCGTTTACCTGTGAATACAAAGAGTCCAACAGATGCTGCTAACAGTAATATGGATCTGAACAGTAATATGGATGTCTTCAGTAATATGGATCTCAACAGTAATACAGATTTCAGCAGTAATATGGATATGAGGCGCGGGCGGCGGTCTACACGGCGCCCTCTCCCAATCAGCGCATTTGGGTATAATAATAATAATAATAATAATAATAATAATAATAATAATAATAATAATAATAATAATAATAACTGGGGAGAAGAAGAACCATCGCAGTTTTCACTCCGTCAACGTTGTGCAGCCGTCCAGAGAAAAAAGGAAGTCAAAAATAATAATAATAATAATAACAATAATAATAACAGCAGCACGCCTGTTCACATGCTGAGTAAGAAGACTGAAGACGAGAATTCACTTTCCCTCCCGCAGATCCATACACCAATCGCAGCCCAGCGAATCAGCCACCGCAACCGTAAACAACAGCAAGAAGAACAGCCAATACAATTACAATCATTAAAGGGAAAAGAAAAGGAAGGAGAAAGAGGAGTCTCTACATCCAGCAAGAATGGTTTATTACCATCTGCTTCTGTCCCTGCTGTTTTCTACAGTGTTATGAATGCCCCTAAATTTGCAGTTGTTTCTTTTGATGGGAGTTCGTCTATCTGCACAGCGGCGGTGAATTCCTCCTCGCAGTCCCTCCCTCGTGTGATGGAGGAGTGGATTGGGAAAGACTGGACCTCATTCCGCAGTAATAATACCAGTAATAATAATAATAATAATAATAATAATAATAATAATAACAGTAATAAGTCTCTCAAGGGTGCGAAATTACCCGTTCTTTGCCCACACTAGAAAAAGGGGGGGAAAAAAAAATGGGGAAAGAAAGAAAGAGAGAAAGGTAAATGTGAGAAAATAGGTTAAACGATGTTCAAATGTTAAAAAAAAAAAAAGAGAAAATAACTATGTAGTGCCCATTTATTTGATTTTTATTCTCTTTTTTATTTTTGTTATTATTATTATTATCACTATTATTATTATTATATTATATTATTATGAAGATTATTAGTATTACTGTTGCCATTAGTATTCCTTATTTATCCCTTTTTTTTATGTTTTTTTTTTTTTTTTTTTTTTTTTTTTTTTTTTTTTTTTTTTTTTTTTGGCTCCTTTCGGGCCCTTTATTCCTCTCTATTTAACGGTATTGACTCTTTTTTTTTTTTTTTACAATCTCCGCACCCTTCGCTTCATAGACAGCTATACATCTGATTTCCACACATCAGTACCTGTTCATGGTATGGTGTCTAAAAGCAGCACTGCTGCTGGTGTGTGTGGATGTGTATGTCTGTTGGTGAATCTTTGTTTTGTTTATGTACCTCTGTATATGTTTATTTATTTTTATTTTTATTTTCTCTTTATTCCTCTCTCTCTATTGATAGAGGGAGTGGTACTCTATCTATGTCTCTTTTTCTTTTATTATTATTATTATTATTATTATTATTATTATTATTTCATTAGGCTATATGCACACTGTCTGTTGTTTCCATTGGGTAATATATCCATGGCAGGATGACTGCAGTGTTGACGATGACTATGAATAGTGATAATAATAATAATAATAATAATGAGAAAAGTGGTATTAATTACTAGAAGTGGGACTGATTTTTTTTTTTTTATATGACTTTTTTTATGATGGGGAAAAAAAAATTCTTTAATTCAAATGGTACTATTGTCTGCACCCACACACATACAGAAGAAGAAAAAAGTAAAAGACGAAGTTATGCCTTTATAAGGACTGTTTGTCCTGACTGTTAATTTTATTACTCTAGTCTATTTGTATGCCTCACACATACATTTATCTCTTTGTTTATCTATCTATCTATATATATATCTATATATCTATGTCTCCCTATCTATCCATCTATCTATTACTATCCGTTCAGTAATCATTCAATCCAACATTAGGGAAGTTTTCTCTTCACAGCAATACAACCGTCATCATGCAACAACCAGAACAACAAAGAGAAGATGATAACAAAAACCACAATAACAACAATAACAACAATGAGGAGGAAAAGAAGAAGGAGGTAGATGTCACAGTAACAGGAACTGTGGAGGGCAGCGAAAACACAAATACACCGGCATCTACAATCAACACAACAGAGAAACATCAGGAACACCAGGAAACTGAACACTCCCATAAAGAACACCAGGAAAATGAACACTCTTCTCATGAACACCAGAAAGATCATCAAGAAGCTGCAGAGTCCGCTAAAGTAGATCAACAAGAACATCAAGGAAGTGTAGAGTCCACTCATGAACACTCCTCTAAAGATCATCAAGAAACTGCACACTCTTCTCATGAACACTCTTCTAAAGATCATCAAGAAGCTGCAGAGTCCGCTAAAGTAGATCAACAAGAACATCAAGGAAGTGTAGAGTCCTCCACTCATGAACAGCAGAAGAAAGAACATCCACCCAGCATGTTGGGTGTGCTCCCCCATCGTGTATTTCCAAAGGAGGAGATTGAGGCCCTCATGGAGGAACATCGTCTTCGCGCCCAACAACAACAACAACAACAACAACAACATCATCCGAAAGAAGAGACACGCCACTCCGCCAGCAAACGCAACTCCACCGCAGCAGGCACGTCGAGAAAAGGAAGTGTCCATCCCACCGCGAGTAAACGCCACTCCGCCGCGGATGTCCATCGCCAACACCCCCACGCCCTTCAACAACTCCAACAACAACAACAACAACTGCTAACATCTCTTGCGGCGGGGGCTATTCCCGCAAACCAGTTGTCGGCCTATTCCATGGCCTACACCGCCGGCGAGATCCCACCACCGCCGTATCCAGATCTCGTGCTGGCCGCAGAAACCGCCACCGCTGCTCTCAATAATAATAATAATAATAATAATAATAACAGCAGCAGAGCGCAACTCTCACCATCTCTACAACCGCAAGCAACACCAGCGCAGCCTCTGCGTAGTGCCTGGGGAGTGACGCAGCCCTCAGCGTATATTAATCTCCCACAGGCTTACACCGCCCAAACGACATATGATCCCGCCACGGCAATACGCGTTGAGCAGATGCTGCAGCAACAACAACTCCAACAACTTCAACAACAACAACAACAACAACAACAGGCAACGGAGGCCGCTGCAACTTATATGGCACTATCGCAATTGGCACAGGCACCACAGGGGGGAAATGTGATGGGATTGAATATGCAGGAACTCGGTGTACTCGCACGGCTTATTGTGCTCGCCCAAGGTGAACAGCAGCAACAACAGCAACAACAACAACAACAGTTACAGCTACAGCAATTGCAACAATTACAGCAACTTCAGCAACTGCAACAGTTACAACAGCTACAGCAGCATCTTTTCTCTCAAAAACAGCAGCAGCAGCAAAATCAACAACTACAACAACAGTATTACTACTATCCGGGTGTAAATCAGCAGAACGCCGTGCAGTTTACAAATGCAGTGAATCCACCGCCAACATCACCAGGGAAGGCGACTCTTCCCTCTTCTAACACGAATCTGCAGGAAAACGCCGCGGTGGTGACCAATATTCTGAGTACGGTGGAGAAAGAACCACAGATGGTGGAAACATCAGTGAGTCAGGCCACTGTTGTCCCACAGTCTTAACACTTTATGTGTATTAAGGTTTTTTTTTTCTTTTTTTTTTTTTTTATTCAGTTGCTTCTTGCCTATCTGTCAGTGTGACTCTCTATCTATCTATCTAGGCAATCTATATAAGAGTGTTTAGTTTATATACAGAAGTATATGCGTACCCTGTTTTCATACGCTGGACGTGACGGATATATATATATATATGTATATATACAACAGAAAGAACGAAAAAAAACGAAAAAAAAAGGCTTTGCTGAGTTTATTAGAGTAGGTATAAATAGAGAAGGGGTGAAAACTAAAGGAAAAAGGGGGTGGGGTTGTATGTGCGAAATGCATTATACTTCTTCCTTTTTCTTCACTCTTTTTTATACTTTGCTCTTTTCTCTTATTGTCAGTTATCATCGAATTATATATGTATATATATTACGATTGATATCTTTTCGCAGATTATACACGGAACGATGCGCAGATGTGCCTATTTGTTTTTTTCTCTTTACGCGGTTATTTCTCAGTTTTTTTTTTCGTTTTTCGTTGTTTTTTTTTTTTTTTTTTTTTTTTT